CAGAGTAGAGGGGCAGGATCACCTCCTTTGACCTGCTGGTCACGTTCCTTTTGATGCAGCCCAGGATACTGTTGGCTTTCTGGGCTGCAAGCACACACTGAAGCCGGCCCATGTTCATTTTCTCATCAACCAACACCCCCAAGTCCTTCTCCGCAGGGCTGCTCTGAATCTCTTCTCTGCCCAGCCTGTAGCTGTGCCTGGGATTGCTCCGACCCAGGTGTAGGACCTTGCACTTGGCATGGTTAACCTTCATGAGGTTGGCATCGGCCCACCTCACAAGCGTGTCAAGGTCCCTCTGGATGGCATTCCTTCCCTCCAGGGTATCAACCGAACCACACAGCTTGGTGTCATCAGCAAACTTGCTGAGGGTGCACTCAATCCCACTGTCCATGTCACCAACGAAGATGTTAAACAAGATCAGTCCCAACACCGATCCCTGAGGGATGCCACTCATTACTGGTCTCCGGCTGGACACTGAGCCATTGACGGCAACTCTTTGAGTGCGGCCATCCAGCCAGGTCTTTATCCACCGAGTGGTCCGTCCATCAAATTGATGTCGCTCCAATTTTGAGACAAGGATGTCTTGTGGGACAGTGTCGAACGCTTTACACAAGTCCAGGTAGATGACATCAACTGCTCTACCCCTGTCCATCAGTTCTGTAGCCCCATCATAGAAGGCCACCACACTGGTCAGGCAGGATTTCCCCTTAGTGAAGCCATGCTGGCTATCACCAAGCACCTTGTTGATTTTCATGTGCCTTAGCATGCCTTCCAGGAGAATCTGCTCCTAGATTTTGCCTGGCACAGAGGTGAGACTGACTGGTCTGTAATTCCCTGTCTCATCCATTTTCCCCTTCTTGAAAATGGGGGTTATATTTCCCTTTTTCCAGACTGCCATGATTTCTCAAATATGACGGCCAGTGTCTTAGCAACTTCATTCGTCAGCTCCTTCAGGAGCCGTGGATGGATCTCATCAGGACCCACGGACTTGTGCACATTCAGATTTTTAAGATGGTCTCAAACCAGTTCCTCTCCTACAGTGGGCACAAGGTCTTCATTCTCACAGTCCCTGCATCTGCCTTCCAAGACTTGGGTGGTGTGGTCAGAGCCTTTGGCAGTGAAGACCGAGGCAAAGAAGTCATTCAGAACCTCAGCCTTCTCCAAATCCTGTGTAGCCGGTTCTCCCGAGAGCTTCCTGAGGGGGCCTACATTCTCCCTATTCTGCTTTTTATTTGCTATGTACTTGTAGAATCCCTTCCTGTTATCTTTAATACCTCCAGCTAAGTTTAACTCTAACTGGACCTTAGCTTTCCTAACCTGGTCCCTAGCTTCCTGGACAACATCCCTGTACTCTTCCCAGGCCACCTGTCCTTGCTTCCAGTTATTATAAGCCTCTTTCTTCATTTGAATTTTCCTCAGGAGCTCCTTATCCATCCAAGGAGGTCTCCTGGCCCTCCTGCTGCACTTCCTTCTGGTTGGGATGCAACACTCCTGAGCCTGTAGCAGGTGATCCTTGAATATCAACCAAGAGTCTTGGGCCCCCCTGCCCTCTAGGGCTGTATCACATGGAACCTTACTGAGTAGGTTCCTGAAGAGGCCAAAGTCTGCTCTTTTGAAGTCCAGGGCAGTGAGCTTGCTGCATGCTCTTCTCACTGTCCCGAGGATCTCAAATTCGAGCATCTCATGATCACTGCATCCAAGGCTGCCCTGGAGAGTCACATTTCCAACGAGGCTTTCCCTGTTGGTGAGCACAAGGTCAAGCATGGCACCTCTCCTTGTCGGTTCCTCTGTTACTTGCAGAAGAAAGTCGTCTTCTACACAATTGAGGAACCTCCTGGATTGCTTGTGCCGGGCCGTACCATCCTTCCAACAGATGTCAGGGTGGTTAAATCCCCCGTGAGAACAAGGGCCTGCGAGTGTGAGGCTTTTCCTATCTGTCTATAGAGTGCTTCATCCGTAAGTTCTCCTTGATCAGGTGGTCTGTAACAGATCCCCACAGTAACGTCTCCCATAGCTATATTCCCTTTAACCCTGACCCACAAACTCTCTGTGGACTGCTCACCTGTCCCCAGACAGAGTTCCATACTCTCCAGCCTATCCCTAACATAAAGGGCAACTCCCCCTCCCCGCCTGCCAGACCTGTCTTCTCTAAAAAGCCTGTAACCTTCCATTCCAACACTCCAGTCATAGGAGCCATCCCACCATGTTTCTGTGATGCCTATTATATCATACCCCCATAGACGTGCACACATCTCTAATTCCTCTTGTTTGTTCCCCATGCTATGGGCATTTGTATAGAGGCATCTGAGCTGAGCTCCAACTGAAGCTGGCTCATTGGCTGGAGTGGCTGGGATATCTCTACATTGCTCTGAGCATTTATTATAGGTTCTGGCAACTGACTGGGTGTGTTGGAATGGAATGATGCCCGCCTCCCCCAACACACATCTGACATACAGTTTGCCAAGAGACAAATCACCACATTCCCCTGAGCATTGTTATATCTTAGACAACCCATGCACCACTGACAATTCTTTAGGTCAGTTTATCATCAGTGACTGACCTTCTAAAAGCATTCCACCTTGACTTTTGAATGTAATGTGTTCTTCAGTCATAAGCCACTGTGCTGGAAGCCAAACACTTGGACTTGTCAGGAAGAAACACACCCCAAGGGAATTCATGGGGAAGAAGCCTGATAGAAACTGCAGGGGTGAAGACCTCAATCAGTCAAGTTCTATAGAGGTTATTAATGACGGAAAAAGCGATCAAGAAAGCTTATTCACATGCTTCCTACAGCACTTTCTACAAAAACTGCTGTTCAAAGTATCTGAAACAATATTTTCATTAAAAGGACAATGTTTCTTCAAAGGGAAGACATAGAAATGATAGTTAAAAGGGCACGTTATACAAAACAGTTTCACCCTTTCCAAATTCTGTCCTGTTTGTGTGACATAAGACCTTGTTTTCCAAGTTAACTAACAATTAACTTGTTAATAGTGTATTTTCACCGTTGAAATTATCCATATGTGATTTTACATGATCCAGTATGATTGATAAACAGAAAAATTAAAGGGCTCTGTGATATCAAAACAGGTCTGCTCATACACAAAATCTGGTTGTTACCCATTACTTCAATGGCAGAAATATTACTGTACAAGGCTGTTATAACACCCTAATATTGCCAACCTGTTTTAATTGATTTTTATTATAATTAATATCGAGAGACAATAAGCAAGCAGCGCGCAGTGCACCGGGGAGTCTCCACTCTGCCCAAGAAGCATGAGGGGAACTTCTGGGGATAGTCTCTTGTACTTTTTTGTCTTGGGTTTCAGCCAATCCTATTGTCTTCTTTTCCCAGGCTTCTCCACCTGTTGCTGGGGTCTTGTCTCCAGGTGAAGAACTATTATGTCTATCACAAGTCTGACCACCATCTTAGCCCCCATAAATTCCACTCCTTATGCGTTTATTTGTTCGGCGCACAGATTTTACAACGTTCTGTAACAGGACATATCTCTAAGTTACCTAACTCCCCCCTTTTCTAAGAACATTCATGCAATTTAAACAATGAACAAAACATTTCTTTCCACAATATTGCGGCTGACCCAGGGGAATTATTCCCTTGTTTCTTCTTCCTCCTCACTGTGGTATTGACAAGGACACTTATCATACCCTTTGCACACAGCACAATGATCACAAGGGATTCCATCTCCACACAAAGTGCAATCATCACTAGGACGCCTGAGTTGCTGACACAAATCACTCTGATGTAACTCACAAGGCTTCTTTGCTACCTTGGCTTTTTTATCCATTTCCTTTTACACCACGACAAATGAAAAAGAACTGACAGTCAGTGTGCATAGATGTTCTCTAAGCACAACTGACCCCTGAAAGCCTCACTGTAGTTTACTGTTCATAAAATAGAAGCCAAAGAAAATTAACAACTGACTTTAATGGTTAAAGGGCTATCCTACCAGAACAGCGTTTTATTTAAGGAAAGTATGTGACACTAACATAATAATCACTATGTCAGGCTTTGTACAAAGTGTTAACCTGTCTTACATGTCCATGAATGCTCACCAGCTTCAAAACGCATTGACTACTCCATGACCTTTGGTTGTCTGCTGAGACACAACCACTTTCCCCGAGTGCCAGTACAAGCTGGGGCTGACTCCTAGGGAGCAGTTCAGCTGAGAGGACCTGGGAGTATTGGTGACAAGTTGACCATGAGCCTGCAGTCTGCCCTTGTGACCAGGAGGGTCAAGAGTGTCATGGGGTGCCTCAGGAAGAGCATGGCCAGCAGGTCAAGGGAGGTGATCCTCCCCCTCTGCTAGACCCTGGTGAGGCCACATCTGGAGAATTGTGTCCAGTTCTGGGCTCCTCAGTACAAGACAAAGAGCTATTGGAGAGGGTGCAGTGGAGGCCACAAGGATGATCAGGGTCCTGGAGTATCTCTGAGAAGTGATTGTGGGAGCTGGGCCTGTTTAGTCTAGAGAAGAGAGAATGAGGGCACATATCTAATGCATATATATATCTCAAAGGCAGGTGCCAGTAGGATGGGGCCAGGCTCTTTCCAGTGGTGCCCAGACAGGACAAGGAGCAATGGCAACAAACTAAAACACAAGTTTCACCTCAACAAATTATACTGAGAGAGGAAGAACTTCTTTACGTTGAGGGTGGCAGAGCACTGGAACAGGCTCCCAGGGTGGGGCTGTGGAATCGCCCTCTCTGGACATGTTCCTGTGTGACCTGCTCCAGGTTGCTCTGCATTGGCAAGAGGGTGGGCTGGATGATCTCCAGAGGTCCTTTCCAACCCTACTGACTCTTTGATCTTTCCACCATTTGGCCTCAGCTGAAACAAAACTGTAGTCTCAGCCTTCAAGCACTAATATTTTCCAAGCCCTCCTTCTGCTTAACTGCCCTTAACCAGCAGCACCGACAGCCACTCCAGGTCTCCAGGCGCTCCCATGGCAGCGGCGGGCGCCCGGCGAGCAGCGCTTCCGCTTCCGGCGGCCAGACAACGGCAGGGCCCGGCAGCGCTAAGGCCGCGGCGGGCGGCGGGGTGCGGTGGTGGAGATCTGCGCCGGGAGGAGCAGAGGCCGACATGTGGCCGCCGCCGCTGCCCTGGCTGCTGGCGGGGCTGCTGCTAGCCGCCCCCTGCGGGGAGGCTGCGGCGGCGGCCCTTCACCGCCGGAGTGCCAACATCGCCTCCCCGCTCCCCACCGACGTGGCCGGCGGGGCCGCCACACGAAGCAGCAGCAGCAGTCGCTTGGCCGAGGTGTCGGCGCCGCCCGAGCAGGGCCAGCCGATGACCCAGCGCGCGCTGTCCGTGCTGGTGCTGGCCAGCGCCGCCCTCATCGTCTACTTCGTAATCCGGACCGTGCGGTGAGGGAGGGGGCCGCGCCGGCTCCATCGGTGCTGCGGGGAGCGGGCGGGCGGGCAGGGCAGGTGCTGCTGTCCCCGCCGGGCCGCTGAGGGGCCGGGCCCGGCCGGCGGTATTGGCGTCAGGGGTCCCCTCGGCTCCCGCATGGGGGCCGATGAGCTGGGTCTGGCTCCGCTGCTGCGGGCAGCGCCGCCGGGTGAGGTGTCTGGGTAATGCCGGGGGAAAGGCACTCAGTCTGGTTCTTCTGTTGGAACGGTCACATTGTCGGGCCTTGTCTGGCTCCCCCATGCTCTCTTCAAGGGGACATGTCACCACTGACATCCTGAACTTACATTCTCTGGGTTATTTTTCCTCTCTTCTTTTTGTCAGTAAACATATTTCTTTTCTGCTTACTGTTTAACTTCTCCATTTCACGTCTTAAGGAAAGGTCCCTTAAAAAGCATGGGCTATCAGTCATCTGCCTTTATATTTCTCATAGAAACTACTGACTGCATAACTCAACATGATTTTTAAGTTAATTGCAGTGTCTGTCACAGTATTTTGTTGTTCTTGGAGTTTTACTTGCTGTCATGCTCAAACTGTGAACTCCTCTGGGTGAGCCCCAGTTTGTGATGATGCATAAAGCACATTCAGTGTGCAGCAAGTTTTCTCTGTACTTTTCATTGTAGTTAGATACACTGGTGTATGTTCAGTACCTTTGTCATGTATTCCAGAAAGATAGTTGAGAGACAGTGGTCTGTGTGGACACTTATTAAGACATGCAGTCCAAGTAAGCCAGGATATCCCAATTGCTCTGTAGTTCTTGAGCAGGCTTAGATCTTTATTTTTCTTAGAATCCATATTTTGATGATACTGTATCTTAAAGGAAAAGACATAAGCAAGTGAAAGTGGACAAGAGCACTTCTCAGTGTTCCTGTACCTCCTAAGATTTGGAGTTCTGAGTAGTATTACGGAAAGTTCATTGCAGGAACTGGAGAAGGAAATTCTCATCTACTACCTAAGATGCTAAGAGGTCTCCACTCAGCATCTTTTCTGCTGGCTGAATAGCCGCAACTTTCTCAGCCTGTCTTCATATGGGAGGTGCCCCATGGGCACCCCATGTCCTGGGTTCAGCTGTAACAGTTATTTTTCTCCTTAGTAGCTGATGCAGTGCTGTGTTTTCAACTTCAGCCTGTGAACAATGCTGGTAGCACACTAAGGTTTTTAGTTGTTGCTAAGTAATGCTTATTACGATCAAGACTTTTTCAGTCTCATGCTCTGCCAAGTGAGGAGGGGTTCTCTTCTGCATCCCTTCAGGAGCAGGGGAGGAAGAAAGAGGAGTGAGTGGGTGGCTGCATGGTGCTGAGTTACTGGCTGGGCTTAAACCACAACAGGACACCAGAATTCCAATACTCCAAGTGGGGTCTCATGAGAGCAAAGTGGATGAGCAGGATCACCTCCTTCAACCTGCTGGTCACGCACCTTTTGATGCAGGCCAGGACATGGGTGGTATCTGTCTGCAACTGCACACTGAAGCTGTATCATGTTTAGTTTCTCGTCACCCAGCATCCCCAAGTCCTTCTCCACAGGGCTGCACTGAATCTCTTCTCAACCTGTAGCTCTGCCTGCGATTGCCCTGGCCCAGCTGTAGGACTTTGCCCTTGGCCTTGTTGAATTTCATGAAGTTGGCATTGGCCTACTTCTCACATGTGCTCCCTCTGGATATCATCCAATCTCATCCCATCCCTTCCTTCAAGTGTGCCAACTGCATCACACAGCTCGGTGTCATCAGCAAACTTGGTGAGGGCTCACTCGATCCCACTGTCCATGTCCATGTATGTTGCATAAGCATCTCCATTATTCTTTTATCCTTAGTCTTTTGTCTAATCTCTATATAGAGAAAGTTTTCACATTACAATTTCTTTTATCCCCTTTTGAGCAGCATTCATTTGAACCTAGAAATTTGTGCCAGCCTTCTGATAAGATTTTTTTTTTTTTTTTTCATTACCGGCAATCTGGACATTTGCTGTGACTGTCTTAGGTTATTCTCAACTCAAAGTAGAGACTCACTTTCCTTTTTACACCATTAAGTAAAAAAGTAAAGTATATCATGAGATAACAGGAATTTTGAATATATAAACAGCATGAACTTCCTTGCCTTCATTTCTTATTTTGTGTTCAGATTAATTTCTCGTCTAGAATATCTGGGAGTGCTTTTGTCCTAGAGCCAGCTGCTTATTGTAGACTCTGCTAAAAGTATGCTTTTGCATACTTTTAAATGGCCATTTTTCACTGGCTCTTGCATTTAGCTATGAAGTGCTTGTTTAGGCTTTTTATATCCACTACAGTAATTCTACTCAAAACTACAAATAACATACTGGCCTTAAATATTTCAAGTTAGCTCTTGGCACTTAGAATTGTTTGATCTCTGAATTTCTTACACCTAAATGTGTACACTTTACATATACTATGTTTTTCTAGAAATTTATGACAAGTATCAATATCATTATATTTTAAGGGATAGTTTTCATACATTGTGGGAATAGAAAGTAGAGAAGAATTTATAGAACTTAAGTGTTTTAAAATACATTTCAGGATCAGAAGGCGAAGCAGAAAAACCCGAAGGTATGGCGTTTTGGATACAAACACAGAAAACATGGAGCTGACCCCATTAGAGCAAGATGATGATGATGATGATACAACACTATTTGATGCCAGTCATCCTCGAAGGTTTGTATATAGAAGTCAAAGTTACTTCTAGCAACAGTGGTGGAGTATGGATGATAAGCAGTTTCACTGAGAAAGCTCGCTACTGTGTCTCATATGCATGTAGTTGGAGAAGGGATGTCAAGATCACTTGAATTTTAAATGGATAGGAATTTAGTGGACAAGAAGATAAACACCATTTGTCTTCAGCATGTGAGTTCCAGAGAAATGGAGGGGAAGGTGGGATATTTTTGTTACAAATACGGTCTCGTGACTGAAGCTTGTGTTGAAGTCAGCAACTAGCTTTTACCTTTCTCTTTTTTTTTTTTCTTTATTTGCATACCTTAAAATAGAAGCAGTGAAAACCCTAGAGGGAAAGTTCACTAAAATAGTATCAGAGGTTTTCAGAGGGTGGATTTCTAATGTTTTGTTTTGTTTTTTGTTCTGTGCATTTCTAAACACTATAACTGAAAAAAAAAATAAATTCAGGTATGTTATTGTAGAACATTCTAATATGCATAGGACTTCTAACTGTTATAAATCCACTTTGCAATTGGAGTCTTAGTAGTGGAGTTCCCAAAGTACTCCATAACTTTCTTACCTGCTTTACATATTTCATTTATTTCATTCTTGGATATTTAATTATTGTCCCTGAGAGAATGTAGAAGGGTGAAACAAAAGTGAAAACAGTAAGAAAAGGAAGTATACTTAAGATGAAGTGTTTTTTTTTATTTTTTGCCATACAAACATGCTAGAGTGATGTTGCGGTGTATATATATGCCTGTTGATTGCCTGGCTTAAGAGATGAGCCTGAGAACTTCTAAAGTCTAAATAGGGCTGTACCAAGGACCCTATATATTTCTCTTGTGGTTATTCAATCAGGTAAAGCATATTCTATTCATTCCCTTTCAAAGTTTATATTGGAAATTCGTTGAAATGATTGTTTAATGGATTGCCCTGTCTCTGCTCCCAGTATGTATTTTTTCAAATTATGTCCAAAGATAAATCTTTTTTGCCACTGCACTTTCTATGGTTATGTGGTAGAAATTACTATGATTAAGAAATTAACTTGCATTAAAGCAAACTCTTCATAACCATAGACAGCAGCACTTGCCCTTAACTATGATGACCAAAAAAAAAAATCACATTGTTAGTGCTGTGTTTTGAAAAAAAACCAACCAGCAAAACAAAAAGCCCCACAGAAAACCCCTCTACCCTGTCCTAAATTCCAAATACTCATCTTCTCTTCAAATTGAAGTGCTATGGTAAATCATTGTTTAGTTCAGCTGCACCAGGTAGTTTGAAGGTAGATTATTGATCCAGGCTGTTTCAGAAATAGTCTTTTGAATGATATATAATACAAACAGTTTGAATACAGTATTAGTGTTTTATTTACCTGATGGCATAGGTATTGTAAGATACATCAGGTATTCATTTAATACAATTCTTCACTCACTGTGGTATCTTGTTGGTGAAAGAACTGCTAGATGAGTAGTATTTGATTTTAAGAAGATCAGATTTGGTTGAAAAAGCAATACCTGATGTTCTGATCCAAGTCCACATAGCCCAGAAAAACTGGAGAGTGATGTGACTTGTAGTGCTTGAAGATGACATAGTCTGGAGTAAATACATAGAGTGATGTAACTTGTGGTATAGGCAGACCTTTATTCATAGGGCTCCAAGATGACCTAAAATTTTATGTTTCTCACAGAAGAGATGATAATGTCAACCTCTCAGTCAAACTGCAAGAAAAGTAATTATATTGGTGTAACTGAGTGATCTAACCAAACCTGATTTCAACACGTTTCTGTTAACTTGCTGAAGAGAACTGACTAAGCAGATAAGAAGTAATACCTTTAGAGGAGAATAACTATTGATAATAAAGAAAGAAGATGTTATTATTGTTTCAGGATAGCTCAGAAAGCATAGTAAGTTGTTAAGTTATCAAAGTCATCATGTTAGAAGCTTCAGAAAATAGAGACTTCAGTTATGTTTAGTCAATAACATGGATATACTCTGTTTATATGTATTAAGATCTTGCTGTGTCTTTTATGGGGAGAAGCTCTCAAATTTTTTAAGTTCCTTTTTATCTTGAAACACTGTGTAGGAGGAAGACGGTGCTAAACAATGTGGATGCACTCCACAAATCTCTACACAGCAGCATTATCAAATACTGTCCAAACATTGCAAAACACAAAACAACATCATTGCTGGGAGGGAAGTTCGGAAATTAATGTAGAGTGCTTTTTTTCTTTTTTTTTTTTTTTTTTAAATCCTTAATTGGGAATGTGTTTCTTTCAGTTAATTTTTTTCTCCTTGTTTCAACTAAGTCTTTTGCATCTGGACTGAAGTTTAGTAATCAGTCTTCATGTCACTTCTTAACCAAGAATGACCAAAGGGAATACAAAATGCATAAGTAATCCAAGAGTCACTGAGGATACTTGATAATAATGATACTCATATACTCTCAGGAGATATCATTACATTTGTCACGATATTTGCAGTAATTTAGAGGTATGGTTGGTTGGTTTTCTTAAGGTAGCATAAATATGCAGTCATACTTGGAGCTACTAATTAGGAAACAAGGAAGAGTGGCCTTTAATGGTTTTTCATTTTAGTCCTTTGTTAAGTAAATCGAAGTTGCAGTTTTGCTTAACTACAGTCAACAGCAGCTTATTCAGTTTAAGTTTCTTACCCTCATAACTCATAATGGAAGGAAAAAAAAAAAACTAAACACATTTACAGGAATCTGCATGTTCTGGTAGGTTCATATACATTTGTTATGGACAAAAAATTACTAAGTATTGTTCTATAGAAAACAGATGTGTTTTTTCCTTCTTTCTTTGTGACCTGTTAATAAACTGCAATTGTATCCACTCTGCTTTCATTTTTCTTGACTAAAATAAGTTGTTTTCAAAGTAATACTCTACAGCACAGTATGTGCATGTTAGAAATCCCTATAGGCTTGTTTTTTAGCTGGTAAGACTGTTTGACCCTTTCCAAGGCTAGGCAGAGAAACTGACTTCTTTCCTGAAATCAGCATAGCGGTGTTACTATCCTGGTGTCCTGATGTAATGATTACTTCCACTGTTGCTGTTTTTTTCCAGGGCTATATGAAAAAAAGTCCTGTGCCCTTGGTTGTAACATTTAAGTGTACTCTCACTGTTGTCATCATCCATGTAACTAGCCTATGTGCCTCTTCAGTTTGGGCAGCTTACCTGGATGGGATGTTTTAGCCATTTTGTTCAATAGCATACTGTTAAATATCAAAGTTTTAAATTCTAACCTTTGGTTTCTCACCATGCAGCTTTACCTATGTGTCAACTGAAGTATATTATTCTATTATTTTTGAAAGTCATATCACACTAATATACGTTGTCATTCTCATTAAATCATGTTACACGCAAACTACTTGCTGCACTGCAAGGCACAAGGAAAAGCACTTACTCAGTTTTTGATAGCCTACTAGTTATGGGTTGCTATCAACAGTTACCAAAGTTTGAACAGGAATGGGGGAGCCTTGGAAGCTTAAAAATATATCCAGTATGGTAAAAACACAGTTTTTTTGCAAGTGAGCTGTCTGTTTGAGAAGTTTAAATCAATGGAGTTTTATGGCACTTCAGTTTAAAGTCATATGGTAACTCTGAGTTTTTACATGCAAATTTAATAATACAATGTTATATCTCAGTGGGGTTTTTGTAATGTTTGATTTTCAAAAATGTAGGCTAAAGTTCCTCTTGAAACAGGGTATTTCAGATTAATGCATCTGTTCCTTCTGTTGTAGAGAAGTACGTGCCTTTCAGTGAAAGAGCTTAATCTTAGAGCCAGAGAAGGAGACTGCTTCATGCAAGGAATAAGAAGCAAGAGGGTATGCAAACTGGGGGGACTAATTTAATTTGTGTATATTATAGCATCCTTAATTTGTTGCAATAAATACTGTACCAATTTGTTGTACCTTTTTGTATATAAAGGATTCTAAATGTAAAGCCTACAGAGGGAGAGTGCACTAAAATGAAAACCTATTTGGAAGGGAGATTACTTTTAAAACAGGGTATTTTTTTGCTTGTTACAAATCTTGTATGCCATAAGTGTGGTATACACTTTTTCTACAGTTACCTGGAATGTTGACATATTTTTTTTTGCTGATATTAAATTGTAAGTGAACATAGCATCTGTGGACCCTCCAGAATTGTTAGAACTTGCTTTTAGTTCAGGAGATGTTTTATCCTTTACAAATAAAAAGCCAAACTACTGCCTTTTGCATTGAGACTTTTTTTAAACTGAATTAATATGTTTTATGTAAACTTCAGTGAACAAATAAAAATTGTTTCCAGTGTTCCTAGTCTTCAGTGTAGTACTTCAACATCGTAGATTTTAAGGATATTAATATAATCTTATAAAACACAGTACTGCGGCATCTTCTTGCTGTTAAGACTGCCAGTTATAACTGTTGAGTGAATCTGGGACATCCATTTTCAACTTGAATGAACAGATGTTGCTGCTGACCTTAGGGTTGTAGTCCACATGGTGTCAGCATTCAGACCTATGGTGAAACAGCACCTTTAGGTAGCCTTGTTTACTTTTACACTATTTAAACTAGGTCAAATACTAAATTTGCTGTAACTCTAAAATGAAAAAGTGACATCAGAGGCAGCTGTTACTGTGAAAGGTGTGGTAATACTCCTGTGAATGTAGTTGGCATATAGCAGTTACATTTATTTTTTAGCTACTGCTATAAAAACAAATAGAGTAAGCATTGTGACCTAGAAACCTAATTTTTTTAAAATGTGTTGTAATTTCCGCAGGAATCTCAATAATACAGACAGAATGTTCAAATTCTAGTTAATAAAAATGACTGAAAATGTATTGCAAATTCTGTATGTATCTAGTTATCAAGGCATAAATACAGCAATATTGGTTGGGCTGGCTATGTTTCCTCAAAGTTAATGTGTTACTGGCTGCAGGGAAAGACGCATTATATTTCCTTATTCTTCAGTCCCCTTTTGGTGATTCAACAAAATTGGAATACCTTATTTTTTTTTAAGGTTATTTCTATAGTGGTGGGGCAAGGAGGAGCTCTGCTGTATAGTTTTTTAACCCTGTCTCAGCTGATTTGCTGTACTGAAGCTTGTTCACTTGCCCTAGTAACAATTGGAGTCAAGATGTTAATAGGCCAGTAAAGAATGGGAGCTGATCTGCTGAAATAAACTCCTTCAAGATGTGAGATACCCTAAGTTTAATGGGAAATACCTGGGGGAGAGGCTAGATTTTTTCAATAATTTGAATTCCTGGGGACAGAAATGGGATATGGAGAAAAATCTTGGAAGATTTAAAGAAAAAAGGTTTTTAAAGATACCTTTACAATTTTTGCAATATGAAATTTATCATGGTATAGCTATTATTTAGTTTTGGACTTTTGATGGTGGTTTTTTTAATATATTTTTGGGGGAGCTATTTTTATTTTTTCTGTTGACCAGTAAGAGCTGGGGAAGGACTCAAATCTAAAGAACAACTGAAAGATGCAGGTCTTTAAAGACCCAGTGTGGCTGGACTGCTTCATAGTTTTAGAATAGCTGCTGTTTGCTACGGGCTTCTTGTCTCATGGTACTAGTGGTGATGTTTCAAGTTGTTAACTGCTAAACCCCTGAAGAACAGACCCAGATCTCTGCGGTGCCATCTTCTGATGAGACTTTTGCATAATTTTCCTCTGTTCATAGTTGCTCATCTATTCCAAGTGGCTTGCACACAGTTTAGCTTACATCTTGAAGCATTTTCATTATAAGACACAGTAAAATGGGAAGATTTCTTAATATTATCAGGATGCATGGATAAGTTTAAAATTTTATTAAAAGATACAAATAAAGTCCTTAAATTATGAAGACTTGATTGTGATTTCCTGCTTTCTTCCATTGGAAGAGTATGAGCCAAAAGGCTTTTGGCATAAGCCTTTTGAATGCTTATGACAATATACTTTGCACAATATACAATATGTATGTTTTTATAAATGATCTGGATGCAAGAATCAAATATACACAAGTAAGTTCACTGATGACAGTAGACTGAGAAGAGCTGTGGATTCCCTTGAAGGTAGAGAGGTCTTACAGAGAAATCTGGATAGACCAGAGAGCTGGGCAGTCACCAAACTGATGAAATTTAGCAAGAGCAAGTGCAGAATTCTCCACCTGGGATGGACTAATCCTGATTATACATACAAAGTGGGTGATGAGAGGCTGGAGAGCAGTCCTGCAGAAAGATATCTGGAAGTCTGGGTTGATGGCAATTTGAATATGAGTCAACAGTGTGCCCTGGCAGCCAAAAGGACCAACTGTGGGAGTGCATCAAGCACTGCATACCTAGCTGGTTGAGGGAAGTGTTTGTCGTGTATCTTGCAGTGGTGTGGCCCAGCTCAAGTATCATGTACAGTTTTGTACCTCAAGCTGTTAAGAGTGTCCAGAGCCAAGACAGAGACCAAGATGGAGAAGGTTCTGAAGGGCAAGACTTCCAAGAAGCAGCTGAGGTCACTTCGTCTGTTCAGCTTAAAGAAGGCTGAGGGTGACCTCATCACAGTCTAAGTCTTCCTCAAGAGGGGCTGCAGAAGACGAGGTGCTCATCTCTCTCTGGTGACCAGCAACAGAACACAAGGAAATAGAATGAAGCTGCATCAAGGGAAGTTCAGACTGGAAATGAGGAAAAGGTGGTTGATCACTGGAACAGGATCCCTGGGGAAGTGGTCATAGCATGAAGTCCATCAGACAAGGAAAATCTCGATGACACTCTTAGTCATATGGTTTTTTTTTTTGGTAGTTCTGCAAGGAGCAGGGAGTTGCACTCAAGGATCCTTATGTGTCCCAACTTGAGATATTCTGTGATTGTGTATATGGTAAGGGCATAGTCTGAGGTCAAAATTTGGATTCTTCAGTAGGGATTGTAGTGATAGGACAAGGGGAAACAGGTTCAAACTTAAACAGGGGAAGTTTAGATTAGATATAAGGAAGTTCTTTACTGTGAGGGTGGTGAGGCACTGGAATGGGTTGCCTAAGTAAGTTGTGAATGCTCCATCCCTGGTGGTGTTCAAGGCTGGATTGGACAGAGCCTTGGATGTCGTGGTTTAGTGTGAGGTGTCTGCCCATGGCAGGGGGGGTTGCAACTGGATGATCTTAAGGTTCTTTCCAACCCTAACTATTCTATGATTCTACACTTCTATGATTCTATGATTCTAAACCAAATGACAGATCTTTTTGAACCATCATTTCAAAGGGACACTTTGTTTATTGATCTTCTTCCCTAATCCTAATCCTAACCTGATCCATAAAGATGGAAGATGAAACAATAAATGTTCTCACCCAAGCTTTTAATTTTTCATGTTTTAAACTTGAATTGTCAGTTCAACAGCCATGCAACCGGATTGTACATTGTAGAAATTACTCTTTTCTTATGAACGAATTCTAATTCTCCCACAGCTTTTTGTCAAAACCTGGATATCATGCAGGGAAAGTGCAATATGTTCACACTGTTTTTACTCTCTTGAACCTGCTTTGGCCACTATCCAAGAAAAGATGCATGGCTAGGTGGATTTCTATTCAGACCAAATGCAAGTGCTCTGTGCTGAGTCCAAAGGCCCCTCATCTTTCTAAACTCAGAAAACATAGTTTTGTGAAGATACATATTAAACCCACTGATCAAATATATTAGCATTGTTGTGATGATTCTTTCACATCCAATGTGAAGATTGTTTAGGTAGGCTGAGAAATCTAGTTCAAAGTTTAACTGTCCTTTTTAGTAGATTGGTTTTTACTTTTGTTTTTCCTGATTTGTAGTCTAAATCTCAGACTTAGTGATTTTAAGCCTATTACACTTAATCTATAGTGAATGGTAGGAAGCTTTGTTCTGTTGTAGATCTGCCATATATTTCAAGATTACTGTGTTCCCCCTCAGTCTTGTCTAATCAGAGCTGCCTCTATTTCTTTCCTAGTACTCTTATGGTGTAGGCATGTAAGACATTGCATTCTTTAAATGAAGCAGCTGGTTCACATCTTCCATGAACTGCAGTGTCCAAAAGAGAGGACAGTGGATGCTGTTTATGAGGTGGCAGCAATGGGAAATATTTGTGCAACATTAGCCCACCTATCCTTATCCTTGCAAAAAATCACTGTCCCTTTTTAAACTTACTGAAAGAACTAATGTGGAGTGGACTGTCTACACTAATCTCTCTGTGGTTGGTTGCACAATGTAAAAGGCTTTCAATCTGCCCCAATGAAGTTGCCCTGAAAGTTGTTTTTTTTTTTTTGAAGTGTGCTTAACGATGCTAAATGATATGTAATCTCCTATTTCAGTATATGGCAATGCTTGACCACTGTTGTGGTTTAAGCCCAGCCATAAATCAGAACCACGCAGTCTCACTCCTTCCCTTCCCCCCCACCCCGCTCCCAGAGGAATGGGGCGGAGAATCGAACGAATGTAACTCCCATGGGTTGAGATAAGAACAGTCCAGTAACTAAGGTATAACACAAACCACTACTGCTGCCACCAATGATAATAGTGATAAGGGAGATAACAAGTGAAGAGAATACAACCGCTCACCACTTGCCAACCCATACCCCGCCCAACCGAGCAATGAGCTAGCCCTTCTGGGTAACTGCCCCCAGTTTATATACTGGGCATGACGTGCTGTGGTATGGAATACCTCTTTGGTTGGTTGAGTCAAGTGTCCTGTCTCTGCTTCCTCCCGGCTTCCCCTTCTCCCTGGCAGAGCATGAGACTCAGAAATTCCTTGGTCAGACTAAACATTACTAAGCAGCAGCTAAAAACATTGGTGTAATAAGCGCTGTTCCCAGACTGAAAGTCAAAACCACAGCACTGTGCCAGTTACTAAGGAGAAAAATGACTGCTACTGCTGGACCCAGGACAACCACAAACAAATCAAACTAGAAATAAGCCAGATTAAATAATGGAGCTTGTCTTCATCAACTTAGTACTCTGTCCGGTCTACTTAACATGCCTATTTCTTATCCATCAGCTCATTGGATTGGATCAGATATTTGTGAAGTGCTGTTTCATGCCATGTAGATTTATTTCTCAGGCAGGAGTAGTTACAGCTGCTTTTACCTGTTGAAGCAACTCTTGGCCTTAATCACATATGCATCTTACCTATGTGCAGCATGCATGTTTGAGTGTTTCTGCTGGTAGTCACAGCTGTCAAAGGTTGGTGTTTTCCCTTAGGCATAACTTTCCCCCATATGAGGTGGAAGGAGA